CTCATTACAACCAAAAATCATTTGATTGGAATGCAAAGTTTGTCGGTGCATAATTAAATCAGTTTGTATTCATAAACTGGTTTGAATATTACATATTTGTTTTGGCACCAAAAACAAACACAACCATTGTCAAAATGATAAATTTGTTTTTGCACCATGAGGTGGAGGGGTGGCTATCTTAAAATTTTAATTAACCATTGTCAAAATGGAGAAAAATAAAAAACAGGGAAAGATGTAGCGTGCCTTTCCGCAAATCAACAATATAATATGCTTTGCATGTACCATCTCACATCCACCCATTACAATGATCAGAAACATACAAAAAGTTTTTTAATTGATTTATTAAGCTAATACCAACGCTTTAAAAAATGACCTGGAAATGGAATTATTCTGGCCATTGGTTTTCGGGTCAATAGTTCGACTGTCCAGTTCAAACGGATGGCTCATTTTTATAGCAAAATTAAAAAAAATAAAAAATAAAAAGCGGTCAAAAACCGTTGAACGGGTCAACGGTTCGACCACTCGGATCAACGATTTGTTGATTTTTTCAATAGTTTTTAACCAAATTTTAAGTTTTGGATAAAATAAAATCGATTGCCTAGACAGTTCCCGAGCTGAACGATCCAACCGTTCGGGTGAACGACGATTCGAAAACATTGACTAATACTTCTATTTGCTTTAATTAGAAACAAAACGTTTTTAGATTAAACGAGGAAACAAAACGTTTTTAGATTAACATGGGACCCGTATTACCCTATATGGAATTCGCAGAGTTCACATTATTTAGGCTCGATTTGGAAGTGCAAAACCTTATATTTTATATTATTTTGTGTTATATACGATGAAAAACTTTCAATCTGAAAAATAAAATTAAAAGGAGCACAAAACAAGTTTCTCTATAAGTTGAAGTACTAACAGAAATATTTTAATCAGAAAAAATTTCATCCGTTTTATAGAGAAACAAATCACAGCTTAAATTACTAAGGGCGTGTTTGATAACATATAGTTAAAAGAAAGTACATCTGCACGTCTAACGTCTTTTTCTTTTTTATTTTTTCTTTTGGAATTACATAGCGACTGTGCCAACCAAGAACGTTCTTTCGGGGGCTCAAGATTAATTACCCTCATGATAATTAATACATAAAACCGGTTCCCCGGCCCGGAGTTTCATGTCCACCATTTTACCAATTAAAATTGATTTTTGGAGTTACACAATTGTCCTTGCTTTTCTTCAGCTGTAATTTGTTGAACTGAGACCTAGACTATTTTATAGGTGTTTGGCATCGGTGCTGGGAACATCGTTGCACTATTGGTATTGGATACGTGGAGTTGTAAGTACTGTTTTCTCAGTAATAATGTTTATTTTTTATTTGAAACCCGTGCTGATACATAGGCTGTTTTTTGAGAAAACAGCATTGGTTTTGTTTAGTACTAGTGGTAGCAGCAACGTTTTTAACATGGTTTGTATTATTCAACATTCAAGATAAAACATTGAATTTAGCATTGCTCGAGACCATATTTTCTCGATTTCCAAGTCAAGATCTAGAGCAATGCTTTTTGGGAGAATGACCGTTCAGCCCACCTTAGAATTTTTAGCCCCACTATACTGGTGAGATGAATGTTGACCACTGATTGATACCAAATTCATGGCAGGATGCAGTTTATGGGGAAGGGGCCATAATTTCAGAATTCTGTGGTGGACTGTAATGTATTCTGATATTTTTTTTCTTTGTGAAAAATGGTAACAAACAAGAAGTCATTGTTTAAAACTGCATTTTCTCTGATGTGAAACCTATGTAGTGCCCATTTTCCCAGAAAACAGCATGGATGCCAAACGCCCACTTTATTAATCTCATCGGTTATATGGTGCAGATATAAAAATAAGAAGACGAAGAAAGCAAAATCCAGCAACAGCGTACCAAACGTAAATATGTGAATATATATAGTCCCGGGAATATTGCTGCCATTGGTAGCCTTAAAATTAGTAAGTAGAGGCATATGTTTTTATGACTCAATTTGGAAAGAGTACAAATACAAATATATACAGTATAAATACATACAAAATACAAGATTTTGCACCATACATATTTGCATTTATACTCCTTCCAAACTGAGCTTAAATAATTGTAATTGGTGCAAAAAAGGTCAGGCTGAGAGATCTAGCATGCATGCAGAGAAGAACAGGTCGAGTATGAAAGAAGACCCTCTTGAAAGCTTTAGTTGAACCTAAAGTGACGTTAAAGCTGATTAAGTTTATAATATTAATTAATTAATTGGATAATATCTTCTCAATATCACAACCAGAATCCAAACAAAAGCGATTGAAAGAAACTGGAAAGAGAATACAAACATATAGGTAGAAACGTTTAGGATAGGAAGGCTTAATCAACATCGTGGTCGTGGGTTAATTAAAAAGGAAACCACTGTGTTTGTGAAATAAACCCTAGAGAGATCAGATCAGACTACCTTTTATGACATATCGACTGTCTTTTTTTCTTCACCAACATCGCAATTTGCAACAACGTTACGTATTTCCATTAAAACCCATCCGTAAATTCATTAAATTCTCATGGGTTCTCCTTGGAATTTGGTTAAATTTAACTTGATTGACTGAGGAGTCAGGAATTTGGTTGAGTAGGGGAAGACTAGTAGCCAATGCTTCAGACAAGTTCCAACTTCCAAGCTCCTGACAAACTGGACTCGTAGAGTAGAGTAGTAGCTAGATTATGTACAGGTACTATACCCTATTTTATTACTCCCTCATCCATTCAAACAAATTGAACCGTTTTTTTCCCGGGTGTCCGGGGAGGATTTGTTCTGTTCCAGGAGACTGGAACTGGAAGTGATGGACATTGATTACAGAGAAGAAGTAAATTATCCAAGAAAAAAAGAAATGGAAACGAAAAGTACGAAGACAAGAACCACGTGGCCCTCCTGATGAAGTTTTATCAGCTGTTACCAACAAAGCAAATAAAGGAAGCCATAAAACCCGGCGAGATAGGAAGGATCGATCAGTCGAGAGATCTGCTGAACTGAACTTTTTCCTGTGCTTTTCATGCACCAGGAAAAACAAAAGAAGCTTTAATTTCTTTTTCATTCATATACGTAATAAAATAAGTGATTTTATCTAAACTCTAAAGTGCTTTTCTCCAGACAAAAGCAAACTAGCAACCGCTGGGTTCCCTTTTGTAATTGAGTAATACCAGGCGGATCACAAATTTGAACTCCCCTCGCGTAATAGCTCCAACCGGCTACCTGAACACTTACTACGACGACGATTGTTTTCTTGGCTGCTTTCTTCTTGTAGCATTGCCTACAGTGTAGCGACTAGCTAGACAGTTTCATTACCGCTCCCTGTTCTTCTTCTTTTGCGTCTCTTGTACGTATATTTCCCTCAAGGACATGCATTTATACGTTATAACAAAACAAAGCGACATTATATCTTTCTTTCTTTCAGTCAATCGGCAAAAGGGCGTGATTCTGCGTCTCTGCTCTGTTTATCATCAACTTAAGTGAATTCTCTCTTCTCTCGTTGTCTGTTTTTCTTTTGTCTTTTTGTTTGTTTCAGCCAATACCATTATTACCAATAGCAATTAGCAAATTTGCTCTAAATAGCTCTCAAGAGAAAAGAATTATTAATTAACGGTTAAATTTTAGTTAATCAACAATAGCAATTAGCAAATTTGGTCTACATTTGTTGTCAGTTGTCATTCCCCTTTTCTCCTATCGTTCATTTTCTTTAAAATTTTGGTTCCCTTCCCTAATTTCTCTGCAATTTACAGATTTACACGAAACAATAACAACGGCCCGATTTTCCAAAGTCACGTGGTGGGATTTGTTTGGACTTTGGAGTGTAGCGGAGCCGGACCTACCCTGTAAAATTCATTCATTCCCGAGGAGACTGTGTGTGCAAAACCAAAGCAAACAAAACCAACAAACAGAGACAATAAAATACCAAAGCAAATACAGAGGGTCCCATACGAAAAGTACACAAAATGCACGGTACATACTACATAGGGAGGGTGCTGTATTTGATACGGAGTTGACCAAACCGTACTCCTAGCATTGCCCTTTCCATTTACTAGTCTCAGTCGCGTGTCTGACAGTGTGTCTCAGTTTCCTCCACCGGACCAGGGTGATTGGAGAAATCCTTTATCCAGGCCATCCGGCCCTCAACTGAATCCTGATTTAAAGCCTGCTAGTGAGTGGTGTCTGGTGTCTGGTGTCTGTGTCTGGTGTCTGGTGTCTGGTGCTGCTGCTCTCTCTCTCTCTCTCTCTCTCTTTTTAATTTTTTTAATATTTGAAAAATAGGTGAACCCGAAGAACTGAACTGACCGGCTCGCTTCCAGTTCCAAGTTCCAACTCAACCCATCAATAATGAATAATCAAATACAAGGCGAAGGCGTCCGGGATCACGTGAAAGCACACGAATCGTCGTATCACGTATATCATATCCACCATTTCTGATAATCCCGGCCATTAAATTATAGACTCCAATCCGATGGTGAGATCCTCACTTTCTAGTTTTTCTACCCATGCCATCAGTTGTACTTCAAACAAAGACCGTTTTTGTACAACTCCTTGATCTGGGCGGAAATCTCAATCGGAAATAGCCCCCTTCCCCCACGTGCAACTGTATCCATCCTTCCAGTTCCAGCTTGTAGTAAATTAGCAAATATTATTATTTATTCGGAGTAGGATTGTAGGAGCCAGGAGGGAGGCCGAGGGGCCCATCGGCCATCGCCACGCTAGCAGTTGTCCGTACGGAAACACACACAGACATAGACAGACAAACGCAAGCCAAACCAGGACAAGCTCAAATCAATGACCCACGCCACGCGTGGTCTAAGATAGATCGCTCGCGTTTTGGTTCAACCAAGGTTCATTAAAATAACAATTAATATAAATAATAATCAATTAATAACATAGAAAAAAATTTACAGATAAATGCAAAGGTAGATTTTGCTCTGGAGCCGGCCTATAAAAGGCGAACCTGCACCACCGAGAAGGTTCACGTTCGGTTATCCCTCCTCCCTAATAAGTCCTCACTCTCTCTCCTCTCAAAGACGAAAGTCAGGAAACGACTCTTTCTCTCAGTAGTCGAAAGAGTTTCCTCCTCCACTCCTGTTTTCGAAAGTTAGAAAAAAAAAAGAGGGAAAAAAGGAAGTGGAAAGCACAAACAACAGTACATCTTGCAGTTGCACGGTCCATATCACTCTTCCTGTCTCTTTATTTCTCTACTCTCTTCCAGATTTTCCTTCTCAGATTTCCATTCCTTTCTCAGCTCTGTTTCCATCTTACCATTCCCGCAAAATCAGTGTCCAAGCATCAAAATCTCTTCAGATTCTCTTCTCTTTTCTTCGTAATCTCTTGCTTTTTCTCGTCTTCCCTAGACAAACTGACAAAGCCTTCTGGCTGCTTTCTGCTTTTATATAACAGCTCATAACCCGGCATCATTCCAGTGTAATCCATTTTGTCACTTCATCGTCGGCGTTGAAGCTTTGATCGGCAAACCTGAGTTCCAACACAGTTCCAGAAAGCGCTTTCCAGGTGTAAATTTTCATAAATCTGTCAAAAACTATGTCTTGACGTTTGTTGGGTTCCGTTTCTCTGCACTCGGTTCGGCTTCCGACACTTGTTCTCTTACATTCAGTCTCCAACAAATAAAAACCGTCTATCCATCTTTGTTGTCTCCCGATAATGGATTCTTTCGATTTCGACAACATTAAAGCAGAGAAGGCGAACGCTATGCTCAGGTACCATCGCCTTCGCAAGATTGCCAACCTCTTCCGCTGCGTTGAGTTATGTGTTGCTCTCATCATATTCTCCTGGTTTTCCACTCGCCTTTCGATTATCGTCAGGATCTCCGGCGAGTATTTCCGGGAGCTATGTGTGGTACTTGCTAGTCCTCGATTTGTTTTCTTAGTCGGTAACGCTATCATCATCATTCTGTTCGCGAAATCCGGCCAGTTCTCCGGCCAAAATGCTTCCGCAAATACCTCCAGCACTGATCTCTACGACGAGTTCGTGAAGAGCAGCGAAAACCGTCGTAGGATCCGACCGGAACGTCCCGAACCGGCGCCAGAGGTCATCGTATACGAAGACAAGGAAACTGTTAGCGAAGAAAGCACAGTTTCTCCGACATATCGAGACGTTGAAATGGTTCCAGTTACCAAGACTTATCAGAGGAGTCACTCGGAGAACTTCAAGCACGAGAGTCAAGAAAAAATGCTTAAGGAGCTCCGGCGGTCGGAAACGGAGAAATGCTGGAAACTTGAAGAGTCCGACGCAAAAGCGGAGGAGGCGTCATATTCCGAGTCTGATTTGAGTAACGAGGAGTTCCGTCGCAAGATTGAAGCCTTCATAGCGAAGCAGCAGAAGTTTCAAAGGGAGGAATCCATGGCTATCGTTCTTCAGACTCAAAGCTGATTAGGCTAATTCGCAAGAGAAGAAAAAGAAAATAAAAATCACTTGAAATATAAAACTCTGCGCTGTAGAAAAATCATCTCATTTTTCTTTTCTCATTTTTGGGTTTAATTGTTAATTTTCTTCTTTCTTTCCTTTTCTCTCATAATGCTGTTTGAGGCTGTACAGTGTAATGAAGTAAGGAGTAATTCTCTTTCTTCCCCTCCTATGTTATATGAGAATGGAGAGTGCTGGTTTCAAAATCTGAACCATTTGATTAACTTGTTCTGATGAGTTATTAATTTAGCTAAGCAAATTAAAGAAAAGTTTTCTGATAAACCATTTTGTTAAATTGATTGATTCCCCTTGTCTGTAAGCGGAAATTATTCGGTTGGTATTTAACAAAAGAAAATAGGAAGGAATAAATTTCTTTCTTTTTAAAACATTAACAAAAAATATAGATTATTAAAAAACAGATTGGGGATTCGGGATGCGGGATGCGGGAGACAGTCGATAGACTGAGACTGGACATTGCTTGCTGTCTTGCACGGATTGAATTTTAAAGAAGCATTTTCATTTGTTTTGATCATGTGGGAGGGGAAAAAGGAAAGCAAAAGAAAGGAAGGGAATGGTTCTTCTTCATTCTTCCAAGACATTGAAATGAGGGTACCACAGTACCACCACTCTACAAAGCAAAATTTGTTTTTCTTTAATATAAATATATTATTTAAATAAAATTGTGGAATGTGTAACCCTTCCTCTAAATTTTTGTTCCTCCTTTTTTATTTATTTATTATTATTTTTTTTTGTGTTTAGTGCTTACTTTTTCATTCATGGATGTTAAAAGGATGATTATGGTTTTCTCTTTGGATGACCCCATTAATGGGATTGATTGAAGATTATGGATTTATCTTTATCACCTGGATGATCAGTTATGATTTGATGTTCGATTGACGACTACCTATGTTGTTTCTATAGATACTCCTGCTCCTAAGTCTGGGAAATCATGAGACCTATTTTCAGGGACCAGACCAGGATTTCTGATTTCAAAGAAAGCCACTCAAGGAATTGAAAGATGAAAAAGAGGAAGAGATCTGCAATCATTTCGTAGTTCGTTATACAACCATTTCTTTTCTTCTTAGCACCATTTTCCCAGGGATTGGACTGAGGGCTTGCTTCTTGTCCGAATGCTTCCATCTTAAAGATGAAAGAAGTTACTTTTTTGTTCACTTTTAATTTACACATAATAGATTCTTAGCCAAATAATTTCTAATTTTTTGCTTACTTTTGTGAAGATTCTCATAATTATCTCCACTAGGAGAAGGATTATGGAGTGGGTGAGGAATTTTGCTTCTCCTCTCTCTCTGTGGGGATGCTAAAAGGATTACTAAGTTATCGCCACTTACCACTGCCATCTTTCTATAATATTCCCTACCTAAAGGTACATCTCAACATCTTCCCCTTTGCTTTGCTTTTCTTTCCCTTTTTTCATTTTCTCTTTTCTTCTTCTTTTGCATTTTTTTTTCATCTCTAAAAGGGCCCATCTATAACATGAAAATATGCTTTGACAATGTCCAATGTGGTATTTAGTGGTGGGTTCCAACGGGCGATGACTTTTGTAGAATTTGTTTTTGTATATTCACGTCTTTGTTTATAGCAATACTGTCCTACCTTGCTCTTATCCATTAATGGGAGAAACTAAGATGTTTTCTTGTATCTATTGCTTTTACACTTGATAAAAAATAAGCTGCCATTATATTATAATATGTATTAGAAGAAACCCGAACGATCCACAGATTGGCATTAAAAGATGCTCGTGTTCTATGAGGGAATGATTAAGATTTAGTTTCTTAATAAACAACCCAATGTTTGATGTTTTTATTTAAAAAAAAAATCAAATAACCCACAAAATTTTTATGGGGTTGGGAAGCAAAGAAAAAGGAGGAGAGAGAATTTGAATATTATGTATATGCAAAGCCATTAATTATTAGGTTCAATGGATTTAGCCATTAATTGTATACTTTTCTATAGGTAGGTAAAAGAAAATGAATCCTAGATCCAATTCTAGCAGACCCATTTATAAATACCACTTATTGGAGAATAATACTTGAATATATAATCACTTCTTTATACCTTAAAAGTATTTTTTTTCTTATTTTATTTAGAAAACTTTATATTTTTCTATTACCCAAATTGATTCATGGGCATAGCCATAAGCACTTGCCAATATAATTGAAAGAAAACCGATGCCAAATTGACCAAACATAAGCCACCATGTATCTCTAATGAGACCCAAGTGAAAATGTATACGTAAGACCCTACATGTTTCATCAAAAAGCCTGATTTTCACTTTTCATTTTTATCCTTTATGGTTTTTATTTTCTAATTTTATTTAATTAATGGTCAACATTTGTAATTGGATAAAGCAAATAAAATAATAATAATAAAACCGTTGTGGAACCTATTCCTCTCTCCTTTTAGGCCTTATATGATCTTCTCCCAAAGCACTTACCTAATAAACCTTTTTACTGATTAGAGCCAACATGTGTCAAGTATCGGATGGTTTGCCCAAACCATGGTTTTGAATTGAAGGGAAGAATGGATTTTTTTGACCTCTCTGTTTCATCGTCGAACAATCAATTCGATGATTAAATGAAACTTTTTTTTTTTGTTTTCTCCCTGTTTTTCAGGTATTTTTTCCCATTTCTCCTCTATTTCGATTGTCTCCATTAACGTAATAATTTGTATATATTGTCATTGCAAAATAATTATGAAAAACATAAAAAGAAGAGAATAATATAAGTTATATAAAAACAAAGAAATGCATAAAAATTTTACAAAAAATGAGAATGTTGCAATTGGTTTGCTCAAAAGACCCTAATTTGCTTTCTAACTTTACCCTCAACTTTCTATTTTTTCCCATTGTATATATGTCATTGCAAAACAATTATGAAAAAACATAGAAAATGAAGAAAATAATATAAGTTACAAAAAACAAAGGAACACGTAGAAAGTTTATAAAAATTATAGAAAATCATAAAAATTGAAGAAAAAATAACATTAAATTATAAATCTATACCATACTGAAAAGTGAGAATATTGCACTTGTTTTGGTCAAAAGACCTCAATTTTACTTCACAACTTTACCTTCAACTTTCTATTTTTTCCCATTGTATATATTATCATGTGTACTGTTGTTAAGTAAGACCTGCAACTCATCTCCTCAGTCGTATGCAACACAGTGACACATTATGAAATGTTTGATTGTTTTATTCTTGGACAAATGTGCAAATGTGCTCAACACGCCTAGCTAGAAGGTGTTTGCATACATGTTACTTTAGTGGTTGGTTGATAAATTTTGCTCCCAACTAATTTCTTTATATCCTCTTAGTTAAAAAATAAGAAGAAAATGTTTTTAGGCTTAAATGTAAGTTATTTAATAGTCGTATTAAATAACGATTTCTGCTATTCAATGGTTAATTTAGTAAATTAACATAATAGCTTTGTTTACTTCTAACCATTAATAGTAATTATTCTTATAGATTTTAGATTATCACAAAACAGGAGATTAGTTAAGAGTGTCATCTACTATTCTCCATAATTTTGTTATTGATTTGGTGCATTAATGTTTCAATCTGATGCATTTGCATCCAATATTATATGCATATTATAAAGTTCAGATCATGGCATTTTGTGGTGATAGTTTTTTTTTTTTTTTTTTTATGTATTATATAATTGTCTTATGATTTGAATGGTATATGAATTTTCATCTATACAACATAGTCAAACTTTACCATCAATATCAAATACCTAGTGTATCACATGGACCACTGTTTTCAAAACCGGACCAAAAAAACCGGGAACGATCATCTGACCGGTTCTGTTTTCCCCAAAACCGTTGATTTTAGTCAGCAAACCGTTGAATCGGCCAATTAACTGTCCAAACGGTTTTGACCATTTTTCATTTTGTTTAATTTTTTAATTTTTTGTTAGAATGGACCGAATGTTCGGGCTGGATGGTCGGACCGTTCGAATCGGTAACCGGACCCCTAGGCCCTGACCGATTCGGTCACCGGTTCAGTTTTAAAAACCATGACATGGACCATTCACTTGTATTCACCAAACGAGATTCATTCAAACTAAAAGATGTTCATACCGACAGTAAGAAATAAATGGAAATGAAAAAGTTAGGGTGTATTTGGTTCACAGAATAACCAAATTCTCCTACATCCCCCCAAGGTGAATGTATATATAACTCTCAAAGAGGGTGGCGATGAATAAAATAGGACTTTTTTTTTTTTTGGGGGGGGGTGTTTAAGTCACTAGTCTTTTTTTTTTTCCTTTTGTTTCTTGATTTTGAATTGGCTAGAATATGAATCTCAGGAATTGCCATTCCTTTAAATGAGGAATTCCATTCCACCAAACAGCTCAATTTAAGAAAAAAACAACAAAAAAAGATCACTGAATTGGATTAATATGCATTATTTTTACCCTAATTTAGTAATTCTGAAGGCATGTGTCACAGATTAGACATGTTTGAACCTCTTACATACCAGTAATTAAGTATACAATCTACCTAGCTAATAAGTAACTATCCATATTTGTCAACTGTCGGCATGTTATTTGAGATAGCTTTGCCAAATGAATTGAAGCCCCTCTTGGGTCTAACATCTTATTTCTTTGTAATAAACAAATAAAGGATGTAAAGATATAAAATAACATAAATATTTGTCTCCTTTCCCCTGCAATAATATCTTTGTCTCCGAGGCCTGCTTGTGTTTTCTTTTCCATGTACTGCTTAGTAGCTGTCAAGGCCAAGTCTGAGGCCCCACTTAACCCCAAAAGTCATTCAATTTTGAATCTCTCTCTCTAGCCTCTACCCGGCCAAACCTAGACTGAATTTAATTAAAAAAAAAAGAAAAAAAAGTCTGAAGTAGTAATTTTTATTTGTTATATAATAGTTTATTGATATATTTGGTAGGATTAGGATAAAGTGAGGAAGGGGTTCCAAGTTTGGACACATCAGACTTCGCCCACCGGTAAAACACCATCTTAATTACTGGTTTCGTAAGGAACCCTAATTTTAACGTGTTTGTGAGGTCAACATCATGAACCATTAAAGCAGGGATAACTGGCTAGGGTTAATGGGAATAACTCTTGGTCTGTCCCAATTATATACATATACACTTTCGTGTGGTGTGGAGAGTGAAGACCTCTGCAAATTATGTTGTGGGCATTCAATAAGTATAATTTATCAAGTTTGTTTTAACATTACAACATT